ATTTTGTTACAAATTAGGTTCAAAAAATTGTGCTAATATTTCGTTTGGTACTTGTAAACAATCTTTTTATTTTAAATATTCTTCATATCGGCCTGCAGCTTCACCTATTTCATAACTACAATAATTACACAAATATATTTCTTTTTAAAACTATTTATGAGTCCTAATCATGTAAAATAATCTCTGATTTGTTTTTGAGGTGGCATTATAAATTATATAATCAAAAGAACAAATAAAATTTACTTATATATATTGTACATTAAATTAAAATTTATGTAATAGTTAGCAGGATTTTAATTTTAATTTGATGTAAATATTAGTTTGATATACAACATATATAAATTTTTGCATATAAATTTATCATAAAGAACATAGTCAAATTAATTAACTTTATTAAAAAAAAAATGAAAAAAATGGGTGCTTTTGATAAATCACTGATCAATACAAGTTTTTTATTTGAACAACTGATTTCATGCGAAATCAACGTATCTTGTGGGAACTGCACGAAATCGTGGGTGTGACAATTTTGTCATCTTGCACGATGTACATCTCTACGTATACCTATTAATTAAAATTTTTTTAAACTACTCTTTTTTTCAATAATATAGAACTCAATATATAAGATTTGTTTCGAATTAATTATAACAATATATAAACAAAATTGGATTTTCAACGATATATTTCTCTCGGCATTGCTTCAAACTTCGCACTTCATACTTCTTTAAAGAATATCGCTTTATTGGCTACAATCTTTTGTTGTGAAAACAGAAGGTATACAAAATAAATATGATTATGAGAGTTAAACTAGTCAAGGATCAGGTGAATTTAACTATGTAAGAGTATACATAGAAAATTTGATGACAAATTAAAATGTCATATGGAAAAATAATACTAGATAATAAATAATTACCATTACTAAATAGAACTATTTAACGTAAGATTCAATGACTTATTATTTTTACATATGTATAAAATACGGAAAATAGTTCACATATCGTTATCAAGTTTAATGTAAACTTTAAATTTGCTAACTCTGCAGTGACGTAAATATGAAATAATAAATTGTTTAAAAAAATCATACAAAAAAAAAATTTTAATATTTCTAATTTTAAGTAAGATATAAAACAGTAACACAGTAGGCTATTGTTCTGCTGAACAGGTCAAAATAAGAATTAAAAAGAAGAATTTAGCATATATTATGCAACCACGGATTTTGGATGCTTTAAGCCAAGCTTTTGAAACAATAATAAGATAAAATACTATCTTGAATAAATTTATTGTTATCTCTCGATTAATTAATTTACATGCATATAATAATCATCAATTATATACTCTAGTTAACTTTTTGGCAAATATTTTTATGCAGAAAATTATGATTTATACATACAGTTGATGCTAGTATTTATCTTTTTCAATAAGCAATTAATTTTTGTAAAATCTAAATGTAGAGTAAATTTTCGAACTAACACGTTATTTTCACTATCTTGTGCTCAATTTCTAATTATATATTAATATAAATTAAATTTTCTGACTATTTATTTTTTGTCGACAAGATTGTTTAAAAAAACAGTATATTATTAATCTGTCAGGTAGCTGCATGACGCAGTGCTCTTAAACCAGGAATGTGGCATATAGGGTTTTTGTTTTGAAAATCACGTTATGGAACATAGTAAATTACATACCAGGACCATCGGTCATTAGGAACAAAAATACTTGCCAAAATCAGCCAGTAACTTTCACAAATCGCTTATTAAAAATTTATACTTGGTAAGAATAAATCTTAACATATCAGGTATCCATTTTTTTTTTTTTTACATAAATCAGTTTAACAAAAGTAATAGTCACATGTTTAGTGCAAAGATAGCAGCTTTCTTATTTTAATACAAACAAGCTATTTTGCTATAAAAAAGAATAAAATAAGACGTTATTTAGATGCTACAAAAACTGAAGACCCTGGTATGTACTCCTCTGTTATTTATACACGCATATTGATACAAATTCATTTACATTTTATATCTGTGATCACTGGCCAATCAAAACACCAGATTTGCACATTTGCTATTCTAGTTGTTTGACCATACACTTTGTAATTTATTACTACGTTTCTGGCATTCCTGATGATACTTATTTACATAACTATAACTTTAGTTCCCACCATGTGAATACCAGTAACACCTTACTATTGTTCTCAATAGAGGCATAAAACGCTTCATTCATCTAAGGGAGACCATCTCTAATTAGGAAATCGATTTCGGTACTATTATACAAGTGGTAAAGAAATTTTTTATACATTTTACAATACTTTTTTAGGAAGTTCGGGTAACCTATACCTTCTAAAAAATGTGAGCAATCATACTAAGCAAATTTGAAGCCTTTATACTATACTATAACATATTTTCTTAATCCATTTTAATCCAATAGCCTTCGTGTTTAATCCACTTGACAAAGTTATGTCTAAAATCAAGAAATGTGAAAAATGTGGAGCCCTTGAATCAGAGAGATTTTGTTTGTTAAAAAATGAAAAATGGAGAGATGCTGAAATAAATGGCTTGGTAAAGGTAATGTGGAAAGATGGTATTATTTTATGTAATAAGTATTATATGAACTTGGTAAAAAATCTATTGCAAAGAATTAAAAGAGGTATTAAATGAGCAAGAGTCATAGTTGAAGAAGCAGGGAATAAAATAGAAGCTACAAGAAGAGAAGCAGAAGAAATTCAAGTTGAAGAAGTAGAATTCATATATGAGAATAAAGAAGATGCTATAATTAGAGAGGAAATTGACGTTATAGTTAGAGAGAAAGTAATGAATAAAGAATTAGAAAGTACCAACGAAGAGGATATAGATTTTTACTAGTATGTCCTGGGCAGCACACATGGCAAAAATTTTAATGAATCCATGTTCTACATCAGCCGTATCATGTACTGGGGCACTTAATCCAAAGATCATTGATAATGAGATAATTATAAAGCACCTTGATGAATAGTTCATTATAAATCTTGGTATCTTGTATCATGATTGTCGAGTAGATTATATAGATGAATATTCAAATAATAAGCTTATAGAATGATTAATACTGTACAGTTATGATGATAGATTAGAAAAACAAAAAGCAATTGGCATATACAAAATGCAATTCTTTTTAATTTTACTAAGAGCAATTTGAAAAGTGTAGAAAATTATATGAAAGCTCTTCAAATAATATACGATCAAGAACAGATGCAAGAATATCTTTCTAATCATGTTGTTCCTATCATTGCAGACTGGCCTAGACAGTTCTTTATCTGTAAAGCCATCACACATCGACTTCTTCTTAATAATGAACATGTTCCTTTATTTGTTACAGCATTTTTACTGATGATGAGACCTCTTTATATTTCGTTGAATAGTCGTGAACTCATTTTTGTTAAAAATAAATTTTTATTTAACGAAATCTATAAGGGTATATTTGAAGAAAAAAAAGAACTTGGTAAAAAGCCACAGCCATGGCGAATCGATTTGATTCTTCATATTATGAACATAGCATGGCTTGATATAGTTGATATTGTTTATTCAAAGTTTGGTCGCACATGCAAAAATATAGAATTTTTATATTTAACTAATCTTCTAAATAATTTAATTCCTTTAGTTCTCGTTGTTTACACAGTACACCATTGAGGAGGTAATTGGGTAGCTTACGAAGAAGCCTGTATACGTTGCTGGAGCAATCTTTTCCTTCAATTTAATCGAAGAAACTACAAGCACGCATCTTTAATGTTTTTTTCTAATATTTTTTATTGAATGAAAACTAACCATCCCATGATTGATGTTATTGCTAACCACCTTGCCTCTTTAAGTGATTGCCCTGTAGAACTCGTTTATAGTATTATTCGATGACGTACATCCAAGTTTGTTGATGCGGAACAATTGCAGAAAGAAGCCTGATTTATTTTCCAGCAACAAGGAGATAATACTTTTAGGAAATATTTTGTAAATTCTATTAAGTATCCTTATACACCAAAACAATTGCACATGCTTTCTCAAAAATGTGCTATATTGCTTCTAAACAAGTTTACAAAAATATACAAAGCTCGGTATTCGTATACTTTGAAATTTAATTCGTCTGAAGAAGGTATTAATTCATACAAGCTTCCTTCTTTAGGTTATGAAATCACAGATCATCATCTTCCAAGAGGTTTTGTTACCTCTAGAAAACCATTTACAACCGTTTTATGTGATTATTTGCATTGTGACCGTATTAACTCTATTAGTTATTCAGGTGAGGGCAAAATCCTTGCATGCGGGCATGGTTATCATAACCAATGCTTAGAAAAATGTCAATCGAAATGTTTGATATGTCTGGGTTATCTTCGTGATGAAATTAAAAAAAACGTTGAAGCAATAATGGTAAGTATGAAGAAAAAATTGGGCGATAATGAATTTATTAATGAAAATATTAGAGAGGTGGTTGGAAATGATTTGGATAATGCAGAAACAACGGCAGATAGTGCAGAGACAATAGAAAATTCTTTAGAAAACGCAAAGCAAAGATTTTTTAAGTTGTAAATTTTTTTATTTTAATAAATTAATAAAATTATAAATTTATCGCATAATACTTGGCATTAAAAAATTACTATTTATAATCTCAATGCCTTTACCATGATATTACCGCGACATTACATCAATCTACTATAATTGATTTAAAAATTGTCGCAACATTACCACGATATTAATTATCATTAACTACCCGGGCTTTTTTAAAATTTATTGTAAACCATATAAAAAAAAAATTGTTTATCAATTGTGTGACGATCGGGTGACTCGGGTAAATATTTCCTAATTTGGGACGGTCTCTCTTGGACTTCATTCATCGATATTAAGGTGAAAATTTACATTTTCATGTGAGATGGCGCAATCGGATATTGAACTCCGCTCCGTAATTCTTACGTATGCATATGCAATATCAATATATATACTTTTTTTTAAAAAAAAAATTGTTTTCAAATTTCAGAATTTACAACAATGAATCCAACACGAAGCACTCAAATCCTAACCAAAAAAATTGAACTTGACAATAAAATAGATCCTCATATTTCAGTTGAGGATCATATTAGTAGTCGTTTTGCCAAACATAATGTATATGCTGTCTCAGTTCAATATGATGATGCTGCAAGTTCTAAAAAAACTGTTATTAAAGAACCTTACTGTCTAAATGGGTTTGCTGCTGCTATTCTTCATGCTTACAATTATCATAAACATTTACGTTTAAATCCTGATGATGTTTGGCTTGCAATTTCTCAAGGTGTTAGTCATCATATTAATTTCAATCCCGAAAAATTTCGTGATAGATTCGTTCAACATGAAGGAAAAAAAGATATTTGTGTTGATGCTACTGATATTATTTCGGGTTTTAAAGGTGATTGGCCTGAAGTTGTAAATAGACTTGTCACCGCAACTGATAACAATGTGGAAAAAATTGATCTAAAAGAATTATTAGAATGTAATTTTTCCACAACAACCACAACCTCTTTAACAGCAAGTCGTATCGTATTATTAGATTCCGTTAAGGCTTATTTTAGATATTTGGTTTCTACAATGTGTGGAATTCCAAAAGTTACTCTTGAGGGAACTCTCGATGATTGGATGAAGATTCAAGAAAAAGTTATTCATTTAAGAAAATTAAATTTAGATTTAGATTTTTGGTTAGATCGCCTTGAACCTGTCATTTGGAATTTGGTTGCTACTTATCGTGGTGAAATTGACGAAGATTTTTGGGGTAGAATTGTAAGAATTGATAAAGTATTTGGTTCAGGCGGTGGTACTTTTATTACTGGATGGATGTTGGCTTTCTTCCCTTATAATCGTGCGAAACAACCTATAAATTTTGATCGCGTGAAACTTCCTCATCTTCCTGATGGAATTGTTGGTGTTCCCTTTCTTCTGGATGGAATAAAATTAAAATTCTTGGCTGGTTTTATTGGTGCTAATCAAGAAATTCTTGAAGGTTCTGATGGTGAATCGGTGGTTTCTCCTGTTATCGGATGGTCAATTATTGATAATCCAAATGGTGATGAGTAAAATTTTATGTAAATTTCTTTACAAGTTTTTTTTTTAAATTAATAAATAACATGTCAGATATTTTACATGTACGCAATAAGAAAATATGTAATAGTTATTCCACGTTTTATCATAGCTATCATTAAACATCACGAATCAGACGAGTTACTATGCAGCATTGTAATAACTGATTTATTACACGCCCATGACTTTATAACTATTATTTCCCACAAGATTTTCACGGCTTTTCTTCACGCAAAATAAGATTTTCTTCTTTTAGATTCCTTTGTTGGTTATATTTATAGATAATTTACGAACCACCATAATATAGTCTAAAATAACCAACAAAACAGAAAGTTCGCTGAGAAAATATCAGAAGCGATAATATCAACCGTGAAAATATCAGTAAAAAAAGTCATGGGTGAACAATTAGAAGCCGTTTAATAAATAAAAAAACAAACTGTGTGCACTGACTAAATGACCCAACAAAAGACTTGCTAAACACTCGGGTTTATTATGTTGAATTTTTAGATATATGCATACTTCACGTTTATAATAAGTAGTCCAAAATTTTAGACTAATAAAGATGTAGAGTATTTTGCATGGGGATATTGAAAATATTGAAAAGGAGTAGGCATTTTAATTCACTGCAGTATATTCCATTAATTGGAGTTCCGAAATTACGACTTGAGTTTTTGTGCAAATATGATGAACGCTAAATAAATCCGAATTTCTCTAGCGTCAGTTACGTCATTGCTCAATAGCGAGTCGATATTTATTTATTTATTTATTTATTTTTGTAATAAAACTCTGCAAATTGCATTTTTATTAATTCGCGCTATATGCATACATACATACATATATATATATGTACAGTACATAATGCTACCTTAATTAAATTTCATAATAAAAACGAAACTTTTAAAACTATCGCCAATATAAAATGTTCGAATTACGCCCATTCCATATATTGGCGTTTAAATTACTTGACTCTAATAAATAAATTTATTTTAATAATTAGTTTTCCATAGTTGGCGATATTAATTTTCATTGAAATTATTTGCGAAATTATTTAAACGCATATCAAAATGCATTAAATAGTGTAATTAGTTGTTCCATGGCAGCTTTCTCTATATACCTAAGAATTATAGGGAAGTTTGGTTGTGTTATGAGTTTGATTCCAGTTGCTTTTTTTTTTTTAAGAGTGAGGCCTGGCCTCGGTCTTTATTGAATAATTATGCGATATATTATTTAAATGGATGACATGAATTATTACAGGGACCTAGGACTAGTTTATCCTCGGCCAAAAACTCTACTATAGTGGGCTACCTGCCTCCACTAGGTTTAGTTTGGCTATATAGGATGTAGATGATATGTTGGTTGTGTGGAAGCCCATTTGTTATATTTGGTTGCACTGATGTGGTGTGTTAGTGTCCGTTAAGAGTCTATTTTGGTGTATACCTTTGCAGCGCTCTAGCCATATATGTTTGTTTTGATTCCAGTTGCATTGTTTTAGGGAAATAATGTAATCGTCAAAGATAGAGCTTGTAACGAACGAACAAATTCTCATAATGTTTTTCAATAAATTCATCTGATTGAGAAAAAATAATATATTAAAACTTCACACTATTAACCGATCTTTAACACATTATCCAACAGCAATAGCAGAACCGATCATGTATTACGTTAATTATTTTTTTTTAAAGTATTTAAATTATTCATCTCTCATTAACTTCTCTTATCATTGTTGATTTAGTTTGTAAATACAACGGTCATTTGTTTATTCGAAGTCTCTAAAGTAACTATTTATCTCTCATTCTCTCATTCAATATCTTATGTTTATTTGTCTGTAGGCATAATGATAAATGCATTTAAGTCAAACACCTTTATATAATATCTTTCTATTTGTGCTGATTTATTATTATCACATTATTAGTTCACTAATTTATATAATAACGCAAGTAAAAATTTATTTATCCTTTGCATATTACTTATAACACTATTTTCTTTGTAGACTCAAAACATAATAAACTGGTTAAATAATTCCGATGAGAGGTGGATATTAGTTGATGGGTTGATAGTTACAATAATGGGATGGTTCATGATGCTAACAATAAGTGGGTTCATAATCTTAGCAGTGGTGATTTAAATTACTTTAACATTGAGTGGGTAACAATTTCAACGGTGAGTGGGTTCATGATTTTAATAGTAGGTTGGTTAGGTTAGTAGTATGTAAGTTAATGATTTTAAAAGTGGGTGGGTTTGTGCTTTCAATGATGTATTAGGTACATGCTTTCAATAGTGGATACGTATTATTTCATCGACAATCACTTCACAGAATACCCATACAGCGTTATGAATAATGTTTGACAATAATTGTGGGGGCTGATGCTGAAATCGGCTGATGCTGAAAGTTTTTCATATTTATTATAAAATTATAAAATTTTTTAGGGCCTTTTTTGTGGTCTTTTTTTTCATAGTTAAGTTAGGGTAAGGG